GAGCTGTGCATACAATGGGTCTGTCGTTCACTACCAGATCCAACGGATTGGCGCCGAACCTGTGTTCCGGTTGAACGACAAAGTGGTTTACGGTTTGGATTCACTGGTGAAACGCTTGCGGGAATTGAATCAAACCAATGAGAGTACTGTTATTCTTAAAACTCATTGCCAGAGAGACTGTCCACCGATTGACTCGCTATGCAATGGCAAGAGTTGTCTATTGCATCGGGCGGTCACACATGGAGATCACCGTTTGGTGACCGAAATATTGAGTTCTGGCGACAAACAAAATCTGGAAGTGAAGGACAGTAGGGGACGAACAGCTCTACATTTAGCCATCGATTTGGACGAAACATCAATTCACCGGCAAATAGTGGAGCACTTGATTACTGCCGGCGCTAATGTCAACTGCAAAGACTTTGAATCTATAACTCCTTTGCAGTTATGCGCAAAACTAAATAAACCCATTTTCGCCAAATTATTGCTAATGGATGGGAAGGCGACCACTTATGACCGAAGTATTGGTCAGAATTGGGTGGCACTTCATTTCGGGGCACACTTTGGCAATGTGTCAGTCGTGAGTGTATTGCTTGAATCGGGTGCAGCCCCTCAGCCCAGAGATACAGCCGATGACAGGCCGGCAGATATAGCACTCAAAATGAATCACTTGGAGTGCAAAAAGTTATGCGATTTCTATTCCGATCGACCGCTCGATCATAACTTATGTAGAGATGAATGGCTTTTGGAAAACATAAGGAGTAGGAGTTGTGCCAATCAATTACTCCAGCGCTCAGGCATGAGAGACGGCTCCTATTTCGTGAGAATTAGTCAAAACAATTCAAACAATTATATCCTATCCATGGCTCACAACCAACGAGTCTATCATTTTAAGATTCAGACGCGAGAGAGCTTTTATTTCATCGACAGCGGCCCGTATTGGCCGTCATTAGAGCATCTGATTAGCTATCATATGGTGAACAGCGATGGCCTGCCCTCAGCACTCACTGCTCCGGTTTCATCGTTTATCAATATATCGATAAATGAAATGTTAATTCCGGGCAAAACTCAAAACAATAAGCATTGGGAACGTAATCGCGATATAGTGTGTAATGAGAGCGAAGTGACGATGAAATCAATTTTATTCATCAATAAAAAGCACGTCAGAGTCGGTTCGCTGATTGGGATCGGAGAATATGGGGATGTCTTCAAAGGCTTTTGGCAACGATCTAAAAATGATAGGGTTTTAGTCGCTATTAAAATAGTGCGCCGACAGGGCCTTCACGTGAACCGCAAAACTGATAACTTTGTCAAAGAGGTGGAAGTGATGGCAAGTTTGAAACACCCAAACATTATCCGACTGTTAGGTGTGTGCGTTGGGCCGACATTAATGATGATACAAGAGTTGGCGCCAATGGGAAGTGTTTTGGACTATTTGATGGATAAGTCCAATGAAGCGCATATCTGTCACGACATCAAACTTTGGTCCAAACAGATCGCTATAGGGATGAGGTATTTAGAGCGCCAGCACTTTGTGCACAGAGATCTCGCCGCCAGAAATGTATTGATATTCACGTCAAAGCAAATCAAGATTTCGGACTTTGGACTCTCACGGGCTCTGGGAAGAGATCAGAGCACATACAAGGCCTCCAATTGGGACCGTTGGCCACTCAAATGGTATGCACCCGAGTCTCTCCAATACGGCACTTTCACCCACGCGACTGATGTCTGGTCTTATGGGGTAATCGATTGACAACAAATAAAGTTACCATAATATTTTTGTAAATTGTTTTATTTTGCAAATTAGGTGGTGTTATGGGAAATGTATAGTTTCGGCGCTCAGCCCTATCCCGATATTGATAGTCCACTTATAATTAGATTTCTTGAATCTGGGAAACGATTATCAAAGCCTATTATGTGTGCAGACATTGTCTTTGCCTTAATGTCTTTGTGCTGGTCTTATGAGCCCAAGAATAGGCCCACATTTGAAGAAATTGTTGAATTAATGTCCGCTAATGACTCCGAATATGAATCGATTGAAAATGAGCTCAAACTTAACGATTGAAATGTGATTTAATGTTCAAAATTTATTGTTATATTTTTGACGTCAAATCAATGCCTTAGCGCTCGCAGTCTTTGGGATTAATGTATTCAATGGTTGTCATCATCTATAAAGTGGTGAAAGAGTGGGAGTAAACCATCAAATGTACACATTTTGTACGTTCAGTCAGTGCTCCAGAATATGTGCATCACATCGTCATGTGTGGACCAAAACGGCCCTCTCTTTCCAAATGTAACTCAAAACTCAATACTAATGAATGACATGAATATTGTTGTGAATTATTGTCTAAATTACACTCAAATAGTGTTTTATATTTTCTTTCTAGAGAAAAAAAGTTGCCTCAAAACTAAACACTATAAACACTCATTGCTTATAATTTTTTCATAAATAGCTTTTGCATAGTTGTAGAGGAGAACAGGGAGATTAAATAGCATTGAAGTTTGTGTCAAATATCTACCCATCCCACTCCCAATCTCATCTCTCTCTCTCTCTCTCTCTCTCTCTCTCTCT